CCGTCCATTTTTTTCAAAATTGAGATTTTAGTGCAGACTTGTGAGAAACTCAATAATCTATGATGCAACAAAATATTTGGGCGATAAATTATTAGATGGAGCCACAGAACCATGAAAAGTCCATAGGAAGAGTGAAACTTGCGTAAGTCCAGTCTCTTTTGTGTATTCTTGCCGCTGATTTTTCTAATATAGCTTTTGTTGACAAAGGATTTTTGCGCCTCCTGTGAAATTTACCTTTTTGGACTGGCAATTTTCATATGATGCCGACGATATGCTGGTCAAATTACATAGTTTTACACGATTTCGTCTCGAAATTACACGATTTATACACGCGACCTTGGTACCTATTTAGTAACATCAAGAAGCAAGTATTTATGATTTTGGGAAATGGGTAAAATCCAGTCAAATCTGAGGGTTAATCATCGCTCCTCAACCAAAAATAAAGATGTGGCAATGACAGAAAAGCGATCCAAAAGTAATCTAATTACTAATTACTCTAGTTCCTGGAAAAGTGGTTACTTTCGGACATCAGTTTTCCTGCCAGGATGAGGCACCCCAGATGACGTCATACAGTTATCAGTCAACCTACCTCTCTCAAATATCCTTGAGTAGTCACTTGACAGAGGTCTATAAACTTAGCAGTCCCAAGGTGGAAAAAAACTTCGGGAACTATATAATAATTAGGTGCTTTTTAGGTGCTATAGGGCCTCTAATTAATAATTAGGTGCTCCCTTTGTTTTTGAGAAAATCAAAAAAAACTAAGGGACTGCTAGGTTTATAAAAGCTAGCAGTCCCCTATAGTAAGAAATATTTTTTCAAATTTTTTCTTTGTATCAGAATTAGGTGCTTTTTAGGTGCTCCTAAATAGTCCAAGAAAAAATAGAATTGATTACTTAATTATTAACTGAATTACAGATTTTTTTTAAATTATTAGGGAACTGCTGGCATTTACATGTTGGTGTGTCAGAATGAAAAAAAATTTGGGAATTATATAATAATTAGGTACTTTTTACGTGCTTATTAAGGCCTCTAATTAAAAATTGGGTGCTCCTCTAGTTTTTGAGAAAATCAAAAAAAACTAAGGGATTGCTAGGTTTATGAAAGCTAGTTGTCCCCTATAGTGAAAAATATTTTTCCAAAATTTTCTTTTGTATCAGAATTAGGTGCTTTTTAGGTGCTCCTAAATAGTCGGAGAAAAAAAAATAGAATTGATTAATTATTAACTGAGTTACAGATTTTTTTTTTAATTATTAGGGGACTGCTGACTTTATGTTTTCTTGTTGGTGTGTCAGAATGGCAAAAAAACTTCGGGATCTATATAATAATTAGGTGCTTCTTAGGTGCTAATTAGGGCCTCTAATTAAAAATTAGGTGCTCCTCTAGTTTTTGAGAAAATCAAAAAAAGAACTAAGGGACTACTAGGTTTATAAAAGCTAGAAGTCCCCTAATAATTAAAAAAAAAATCTGTAACTTAGTTAATAATTAATCAATTCTATTTTTTCTTCGACTATTTAGGAGCACCTAAAAAGCACCTAATTCTGATACAAAAGAAAAATTTGAAAAAATATTCTTTATTTTAGGGGACAGCTAGCTTTCATAAACCTAGCTGTCCCTTAGTTTTTTTTTGATTTCCTCAAAAACTAGAGGAGCACCTAATTTTTGATTAGAGGCCCTGATAAGCACCTGAAAAGCACCTAATTATTATAAAGATTTCGAAGTTTTTTTCCATTCTGACACACCAATATGTAAACGTAAAGCCAGCAGACCCCTAATAATTAAAAAAAAAGTCTGTAACTCAGTTAATAATTAATCAATTCTATTTTTTATTCGACTATTTAGGAGCACCTAAAAAGCACCTAATTCTGATACCAAAGAAATTTTTGGAAAAATATTTTTCACTATAGGGGACTACTAGCTTTCATAAACCTAGCAATCCCTTAGTTTTTTTTGATTTTCTCAAAAACTAGAGGAGCACCCATTTTTTAATTAGAGGCCTTAATAAGCACCTAGAAAGTACCTAATTATTATATAGATCCCGAAGTTTTTTTTCATTCTGACACACCAACATGTAAGCGCAAAGCCAGCAGTTCCCTAATAATTTTAAAAAAATCTGTAACTCAGGTAATAATTAATCAATTCTATTTTTTCTTCGACTATTTACGAGCACCTAAAAAGCACCTAATTCTGATACCAAAGAAATTTTTGGAAAAATATTTTTTACTATAGGGGACTACTAGCTTTCATAAACCTAGCAATCCCTTAGTTTTTTATTGATTTTCTCGAAAACTAGAGGAGCACCCAATTTTTAATTAGAGGCCCTAATTAGCACCTAAAAAGCACCTAATTATTATATAGATCCCGAAGTTTTTTTGCCATTCTCACACACCAACAAGTAAACGTAAAGCCAACAGTCCCCTAATAATTAAAAAAAAAATCTATAACTCAGTTAATAATTAATCAATTCTATTTTTTCTTCGACTATTTAGGAGCACCTAAAAAGCACCTAATTCTGATACCAAAGAAATTTTTGGAAAAATATTTTTCACAATAGGGGACTACTAGCTTTCATAAACCTAGCAATCCCTTGGTTTTTTTTGATTTTCTCAAAAACTAGAGGAGCACCCAATTTTTAATTAGAGGCCTTAATAAGCACCTAGAAAGTACCTAATTATTATATAGATCCCGAAGTTTTTTTTCATTCTGACACACCAACATGTAAGCGCAAAGCCAGCAGTTCCCTAATAATTTTAAAAAAATCTGTAACTCAGGTAATAATTAATCAATTCTATTTTTTCTTCGACTATTTACGAGCACCTAAAAAGCACCTAATTCTGATACCAAAGAAATTTTTGGAAAAATATTTTTCACTATAGGGGACTACTAGCTTTCATAAACCTAGCAATCCCTTAGTTTTTTTTGATTTTCTCAAAAACTAGAGGAGCACCTCATTTTTAATTAGAGGCCCTAATTAGCACCTAATTATTATATAGATCCCGAAGTTTTTTTGCCATTCTGATACACCAACATGTCAACGTAAAGCCAGCAGTCCCCTAATAATTGAAAAAATATCTGTAACTCAGTTAATAATTAATCAATTCTATTTTTTCTTGGACTATTTAGGAACACCTAAAAAGCACCTAATTCTGATACAAAGAAAAAATTTGAAAAAATATTTCTTACTATAGAGGACTGCTAGCTTTTATAAACCTAGCAGTCCCTTAGTTTTTTTTGATTTTCTCAAAAACTAAAGGACCACCTAATTATTAATTAGAGGCCCTAATTAGCACCTAAAAGCACCTAATTATTATATAGTTCCCGAAGTTTTTTCCCACCTTGGGACTGCTAGGTTCATAGACCTATTTGACACACAAAAGATAACGGAATGTAATGCAAGGAACAATTAAGGGAAGAGAAAACGTCAACTCCTATTTGTTTGTCACAATGGGACCGTGACCATATCTATATGTAATAATATCGAGAATGAAAATTCCAAAATATTCTTTCGTTTTCTTTAAAGTAAAATTTTTGAAACCCATTTTTCATTCTTGCCGTCCAAGGGAGGGCTGAATGAAAAAAATTGCCAGGGCCGGTTTGTCTAAGCCCATCCAACTCTGTATAATACTTACATTATACATTAGTCGTAAATAATAGTATATTATATACCTAGGTAGAGAAGTTGGTCATTATATACCGAAAGCTTTTATAAACCGAGGCGCGCAGCGCCGAGGTTTATAATGCTTGAGGTATATAATGACTTTCTCTACCGAGGAATATATAGAATTTTTTTTACTACTGCTAGTAGAAAATAAAAAATTTGTTTAAAATCTGTGTTCTAATTATTTTTTGTGAACGCCCTCTTGATAGTGCTGCCCTCTATCAACAGCTTATAGAACTTGCTATGTACCTACAGAAACCTGTATTTTTTTTTCAAATTGACGTATAAAATTGAAATGGAACCAATAGAAACATGACAATATCCTTGCGTCATGACGTCATTTTCATTATTGACCTAGGTATTTTTTCATTATTTTCATTATTAACCTAGGGAGAGAAATTCAATTTTTTCTTAGAAAAATAGATTGAATAATGTCTATTTCTCAGGTTAGTAGTAAAAATAATACATTATACCACAACATTAATGCCAATATGATACACATTTTATTGCATTGTTAATTGAAAAATCAAGTTAATTTTATAATTGCACCTCAGTTATTTCAAATTCTCATAACTTACTCCTTTCAAATGATAATATCTATCAGAAGGCAAAGTGTATTTGTAGTACAAATATCTATAATAAGGATAGTAAGGCCAAACGTCCGAATAGTAATTCAAACTCCTGATAGGGTAATAGTAATTGTAACGGCAAGTGAGCGGTCGATAGATTCTCGTCGATTCGGGATAATAGTCGATCGTTCGGTAAGGGTAGTTAATGTAGATCATATTCTGAAATATAGAAAAGTTACTCCAAATTTTATTCCAAAAGCACTCCGGACCTTGTGTACATTGGCTTGTTGACTTTGTAAACTTTACAATTAGGAGACAAATATTTATTGTATTGATTCAATTTGGCTCGGAGCACATTGCCAGGAAAACTTTCTTAGGGTTTAAGTATATAAAAGCAATCTTATTGGTCTTTTTTTTTTTGTGCCAGATTATTTGTTGATTTTTGAAATAAACTTGTATGATACACGGTGTTACAAAGTTAGAAAAAAAAAATCCTGATATAGGTACTTTTGAGACACGATTTTATTTTATTCCGTTGCTTCATATATAAAACAAGTTATATCGTATTTTCGTTATATTCATTACACTTAACATAGGATAGAAAATGTTAGTAAAGCAAAAACGCTCCGCGCATTTTGATAATTAAATAGGTTTGCGAAAATATCCAATCAACATTATTGTCAGCTCCGTTTTTAGAAGTATAAATTGTTCCTCAGCTAGAAAAAAATTATATAAATAAATAATATAAAATTAATCAAAAATAGATTAATACTTACTCTAACATCTCTGATAGACACGTCAGAAGGTTTATAATCAATATAATGTTGAAATAATCTTCTCGTAGACCAATAATACGGGAACCAAACTCTTGATCTATAGGACCAAGGATCGTCGAAATTGATCGGAGGCGAAAACCTGTAGTTTTTGAAATATTTCGAATCGGGCCAGTAAGTGTAGTCGTACCCTTGTATAGGGTCCCAACGTGTTTCGAGCATAGTCTGTAGACACAATCATATAATGGTTTGAAATAAACAATTTTAAATTACTTACGGTTTCTAGCACTATTCTCTAAACACAACAGAAACCAAACTAAGCTTGGTTTCAAAAGTCTAATAACAATCCGCGATCGGTTGCCAAAAAATACGCCTCTCTATTACAATAATTTTGTGAATCACTTTTCGCTTAAAATACTTGAGTTTTTCATGAAAATTATATTTAGAAATGTAGCGTCAAAATACCTTTAACTTGATTCATTTTTGGATTGCAAGGTTTTCGTTTTTTTTTTTCTGTCGTGATGTAAATATTTGCACGGCTATAAATACTTTGGTTGAGTATTTTGGTGTAATTTAATATGTGGTTTTACCATTTGAGGGTAATAATAATAGCATATTGAAGTCACAATTCTTTTGTCGTAGTTTCAATTGCCTCAAACTCTCAAATTTTGATTGTTTTATTTTCCAAAGTATATTGTTCTCAGGGTTTTCTCAATTTTTTTTTTTATCCGTGAACATTTCTTATACAATTTAGAATTCAATAACTTGTCAAAACGTCCTCAATTATCTTCATAACTTTGCTGAGCACGATATTACAAAATGCCATTATTTATGGTTCATATTTTCATTGTACTACCAGAAAAGTTATGGGTACCAAATATAGTCCAATTGTAAATTTCGATTGGGGTATCAGAGAAGCTTATTTGGGACACCGAGCCCTGGGGTTTCGTTTTCGGAATAGGTAATCGGCAAGGGACGAACCACCTAGGAATTCCAAAAATGTGGGGAATTTAGAGGAATTTGTGAGAAATTTGAAGGAACCCATTAGAATTTTGAGGAATTTATAGGGAATTTGGTGAAATTTATGGGGAATTTGGAAATATTTGTGAGGAATTTAATGGAAACTGTAGGGTCATGACGTCACTGAGGTTCACATTCTTATTATAAGAAACACTTATTAAAGGAAATTCTATATACTAGTTTTGTGTTCGACGTTAGACATTCATTTTTATTAAAGAAATTCTTTCAAAATTTCACTTCATGATTTACAGGTCCAAATTTAAAGAATTCAAAAGAATGATGGGTACAGTTTTTGTAGGCTGATTTCCAAGATGCTTCATGTTGTTATTTTCCACTGGAAAAATTTGAGATTTTGAGAAAATGAGCTTCTCACCTTCCTCTTTACATGCAAAAAGCTTCAAATTTTTTTGAAATACTGCGAAAATGAGCTTCTAACCTTCCTTTCCACATGCAAAAAGTTTCAAATTTTTCCTTTCACTAGTTTTCCGGGAAAACTTTAAAATGTATGAGACGGTATTTTCAACTAATTCAGTTTTTATAGGTTGATTTCCAAGATTCTTCATGTTGTTATTTTCCACTGAAAAAATTTGAAATTTTGGGAAAATAAGCTTCTCAGCTTCCTCTTTACATGCAAAAAGTTTCAAAATTTTTCCCTTCACAAATTTTCCAGCAAAACTTTGAAATGTGTGAGACGCAAGGGGTGTTTCACCCACTAGATTTTACACACCTACTGTATTTGACTGCATTGTTTGCATCAAAGATGATTTTTGACTGCATTGACTCTTGAGCAATTTCTAACAAGATTTCAAGCTCCACTCGCAACGACTGCTTACGTTTTTTCGCGAGTTTATATGGAATGTACGCTACTACATGTAACTGCACCTCGGACTGCACAGAGTTTATAACGATTGCAAGCGACTGTATTATGACTGCATGAGAATGTATGGACTGCAGAAAAATGTATGAACTACATATACATAAATGTATAATGTATGATATTTGGATACTGCACGAGTGAAACACCCCTCGGTGAGACTGTATTATCAACTAATTCAGTTTTTTGACAGGTTGATTTCCAAGAATCTTCATGTTGTTATTTTCCAATAGAAAAATTTGAAATGAAATTAGGGGAAAATAAGCCTCTAACCTTCCTCTTCACATGCAAAAAGTTTCAAATTTTTCCCTTCACTAGTATTCCAGGATAACTTTGAAATGTATATTGAAATGTATGAGACTGTATTCTCAATTAGTTCAGATTTTGTAAGTTGATTTCCAGGATTCTTCATGATACTATTTTTTACTGGAAAAAAGTGAAATTTCAGGAAAATGAGCCTCTAACCTTCCTCTTTACATACAAAAAGTTTCAAATTTTTCCCCTAACTAGTTTTCCAGGAAAACTTTGATATGTGTGATACTGTATTTTCAATTAATTCAGTAATTGTAGGTTGATTTACAAGGTTCTTCATGTTGTTATTTTTTAATGAAAAAATTTGAAATTCAGGGAAAATGAGCTTCTCACCTTCCTCTTTACCTGCAAAAAGTTTCGAAATTTTCCTTTTACCTACTAGTTTTCCAGGAAAACTTTGAAAAGTGTGAGACTGTATTTTCAAATAATTCAGTTTTTGTAGGTTGACTTCAAAGATTTTCCATGTTAGTGTTTTCCACTGGAAAAATTTGAAACTTTGGAAAAATGAGCTTCTCACCTTCCTCTTCACATGCAAAAAGTTTCAAAATTTTCCCTTTACTAGTTTTCCAGGAAAACTTTGAAATGTGTGAGACTGTATTTTCAACTAAGTCAGTTTTTGTAGGTTGATTTCCAAGATTTTTCATGTTAGTTTTTTCCACTGGAAAAATTTGAAACTTTGGGAAAATGAGCTTCTCACCTTCCTCTTTACGTGCAAAAAGTTTCAAAATTTTTCCTTTACTATTTTTCCAGGAAAACTTTGAAATGTGTGAGACTGTATTTTCAACTAATTCAGTTTTTGTAGGTTGATTTCCAAGATTTTTCATGTTAGTGTTTTCCACTGGAAAAATTTAAAACTTTGGGAAAATGAGCTTCTCACCTTCCTCTTTACATGCAAAAAGTTTCAAAATTTTCCTTTTACTAGTTTTCCAGGAAAACTTTGAAATGTGTGAGACTGTATTTTCAACTAAGTCAGTTTTTGTAAGTTGATTTCTAAGATTTTTCATGTTGTTATTTTCCACTGGAAACATTTGAAATTTTGGGAAAATGAGCTTCTCGCCTTCCTCTTTACATGCAAAAAGTTTCAAAATTTTCCTTTTACCTACTAGTTTTCCAGGAAAACTTTGAAAGGTGTGAAACTATATTTTCAAATAATTCAGTTTTTGTAGGTTGAGTTCTAAGATTTTTCATGTTAGTGTTTTCCACTGGAAAAATTTGAAACTTTGGAAAAATGAGCTTCTCACCTTCCTCTTCACATGCAAAAAGTTTCAAAATTTTCCCTCTACTAGTTTTCCAGGAAAACTTTGAAATAAGTGAGACTGTATTTTCAACTAAGTCAGTTTTTGTAGGTTGATTTCCAAGATTCTTCATGTTAGTGTTTTCCACTAGAAAAATTTGAAACTTTGTAAAAATGAGCTTCTCACCTTCCTCTTCACATGCAAAAAGTTTCAAAATTTTCCCTTTACTAGTTTTCCAGGAAAACTTTGAAATGAGTGAGACTGTATTTTCAACTAAGTCAGTTTTTGTAGGTTGATTTCCAAGATTTTTCATGTTAGTGTTTTCCACTGGAAAAATTTGAAACTTTGGGAAAATGAGCTTCTCACGTTCCTCTTTACGTGCAAAAAGTTTCAAAATTTTTCCTTTACTAGTTTTCCAGGAAAACTTTGAAATGTGTGAGACTGTATTTTCAATTAATAATTTAGTTTTTGTAGGTTGATTTCCAAAAATCTCCATGTTGCTATTTTTCACTGGAAAAAATTGAAATTTCGGAAAAATGAGCCTCTACCCTTCCTTTTTATATACAAAATGTTTCAAATTTTTCCTTTCACTAGTTTTCCAGGAAAACTTTGGAATGTGTGAGACTGTATTTTCAATTGGTTCAGTTTTTGTAGACAGATTTCCAAGATTCTTCATATTGTTATTTTCCATTGTCAAAATTTGAAATTTGCGAGAATTTGGAGGAATTTGCAGGGAATTTAGAGGAATTTGTGGGGTATTTGGAGAAATTTGTGGTAGGGTATTTGGAAAAATTTGTGATGGGGTATCTGGAGGAATTTGTGGAGAATGTAGAGAAATTTGCAGGAATTTTGAGAAATTATGCGTAAAAAATTCCCCTTTGAGGAATTGTTTGCACAAATTTTGGGATGGTGGTTTTGAGGGTTTTCCAAAATTTGAGATAAAGTTTCAACTTTGAGGCGCAACATCTGAAAAACTATTAACGATAAATGATTCAATTTTGTTTTGTTTTGAAGAGCATTCAATTTTGATTAAGAATATACTAATATACATCAGAATTTCTGAGATATTGGTTGAAGTATCAGCGATTTTAAGAGAAAATGTCGGGTGATCAAGATTTTCCAGAGCAAAAAATGCAAAAATCATTTTTAATATTTTACAGGCCCTAAATCTTCAAGAGAAAAAACCGAGAAAGCTTTTCCACTAATTCTGATTCCCTTTTTCGATTGGTAAAGCTAAAAATTGAAAAAGCAAATTTGAAATTTTTCTAAAAGTATCTACTCCCTTTGGATTCTTATTTCAAAATCTTCAAGCTTTAATATCTTGAAATTCGTGAGCGATATTTAAATAAAATTTTCAGGAATTGTAGCTCTTATTAATCTCTAGAAAACCTGTATTGAAATTTTTTTCCAGGTTTATAGTTTTTGAGAAAATTGAGTTTCAAGTTTTTGACTAAATATCAACTTTGAGGCTCAATTGCTAACAAATTGTTTGAGCTATCAAACTCAGTTCAGCACAGATTTATAAAGAATTTAATGCTCTTTCTAATAGGGTATGATTAATTTTGATTTGTCCAAATTTGCCTGGAAAGGCCCCACTTTCAAATTAATCAATGCGAAACATCCTACTGAAATTTGTTGATGTTATCTTTAAAATACTTGAAAATGTTGATATTCACCCAATATCAAATTGCCTGACACTGAACCTACAAATCGAGTAATGAGATTTTCCAGGTCTACAGATACAATAACAATATTTAGAGGCATATCAAATTTGCATGTTATAATTGCATATTTGCATATAAAAATTATGTATTTGGACAATAAAGCAAAGTAATCTAATTTGATAGGAATATTGCATGAATTTACCTCTAAAACCCAAATATTTCGAAATTGCTATTAAATTAGGGTGGAATAAGCTTCAGCTTCTTGGACAATTTTATTGGAAAATTTTGGATATTGACCTGTGTCATCTTCAAAGAAACATTTACAAACAATTTCAATAAAAATCCAATTTTGGTTTTTGTCCAACATCACCATGTAAATTAGAAGTATCAATTTATTTTTAAAACTATGAAATAATTTATAAGTTTATTTATTTATCATAATACTCGTCTGGGTTGCCAAATTGGCATTTTGCCCGGCGGAACGTGCAATAGTTTGCGGTCTCGAAAATATTTCGAGTCACAACACCTGCGGGCTTTTTCTGAGGAGCAATTTTCTGTTTTCATTGTGATCAAAGTGTAAGTGAATCTATTTTACTTTAATTTAATATTTATTCAAATCAAAAAATATAGTATAGAAAATCATGTTGGAATTACAATACAAACCTGTACACGGAATAATCGACTACCATTGCTGGCCGTATTCGAAATATGTTTCAGTTGACGTGCCCGATTATAAAATAACGAAGCCCTTGGACTATTATGATAGCTGGCCCGATTATTGGTACATTTATACTCCGCTTAAGCCCTTCAGAAGGTACCTTAATAATTTGCTTTTGAGAGATTTACGAGTAAGTAATAAGTTTAAATTTTTTCTAATATATTTTAAATCGTTTTTTATTTTGTAGTTACGCCAGAAGCAATACGTTCACACTTATTGGTAACGAAAATACGAATGTTTTATTTCATTTTATGAATAAATTATTTTTGTAAAATTGATCATATTGTTGTGGGATTTTTCTTTTAATGATTATGAACAAATTCTACAAATAAGGTCAATTAATATTGATCATTGATTCAAATTTTGTTTATTCCCGGCTCTTGAGCCTTAAGCCTGAAGTACTTACCTACCTAAATATATTTTTATAGATGAGGAGTGAATACAGGTTTATCTTCCACCTAACAATGAAGACTTGAATATTTGGACTTTCTTGAACAAATCATCAAAGTCAATTAATAAAATTTAATTTTGAAACTCTCATAATATTGGGTTTTTTCATAGTAGGTAGGTATTTGCCAAAACAATTCTGTGGAATTTCATTTTCCCATCTCTTCTCAAACTCAAACTCAAACATCTTTATTTTAAAATTTCTCAGTTTTACATTACAGGCAAAGGAGATGAGCCCCCCTCAAACTATATACATTTTTTGATTTGTTATGTACACAATCGGTTTTTTGGTTTTTTATGGAGTGTTCTGTGCCTTTGTGAGTGTTACGAAAGATTTGTTATAAACTTTTACTTTTTAGAGATGGTAAAACACGTATAAATAAAGCTTTTTTCTGAATAAACATGTTTCCAGAAATGATTCGTTTTCCAGATATAAAGGGAGTAAAACTTTCAATTTTTACATTAATTCTCAGAAGTGCGTATGCGTTTTAGAAAAAAAGTTTTTTGTTTTTTTTTAAGCAACAAAAATCCTGGTAAAATTTCAAGAAATTCTGTGGCAATTTATTTTTTATTTAAGGAGGTCAGTGACGTTCGTGGTTCGCCTGAAATGGTTTTTACACCTATTTTATCTCGAAAACAAAGCAATATACGGGAAAAAATGAAGAGACAAAAAAGTTGTATTTTTAAGTGTTATATTCATAAAATTTTAAAATAAATCTACTAGACGATGTTTTTCGTGCAAAAAACCATCCGACAGAACCTGTGGCACGTCCCTGGAATTACTGGGTCAACTCTGAGCAGTCCAAAAGATACCTCATAAAGGTATCAACAAACTATGAAAATTTCATTTAATTCGTAAACGCATTTGTAAGAATTAATAAAAAAATTGGCTTTTTTTTGACAAAGTTAAACACCCAGTATCTGGGAAGCGATGCACTTCCGGACATATGTTTATCAAAAAAAAAAAAAACTTAAGATGTATTTTAGTAACCAGTAAACATCACATATACTACGATTCATGAAGTCATAGTTACTCAAATGACAGGTGGAGTGTAATTGACAAAGGATCTAAAAGAGGACGCCGCGATCGTTTGTTGAATTTTGCAAAATTTTGCGTTTTCGAGTTTCAATATTATTTTTCCAGTGAAAATTTTCGAATTTTTTCGATAGATTGTGGTATTTTTGAATTTTATGGGGACCCCATGCAAAAAAAAATAAAATTACACTTGTGCACAAGTGAAGATTATTTTTACGCAAAAACCGCAAAAAACCTTTAAAATAAAATCACAAAAAACCATGGGAAAACAATCCTTTATTTATAATGGAAAGAACTGTGTCAGTAATCGTAGTGAGCTGTTTCGCCCATATGCTCAGTTTCGTGTATCAGAAAAAGATGCACTGACATACTACAACCAGTAACTATCCCTCGTAGGATGGTTACATGTTTCCAGCCGAGTTTTATGTTGTGTTTTATGTTGTGACGTCATAGTATATCAGCCATGATCGCTAAAATGTATTATCCCAAGTAAATACAACATACTACTTCAGTGGCGTAGTATAGGCTATTGTCGCCCGGGGCGGAATCATAATTTTCCGTCCCTTTGACGTCATTAACAGGACCTATTTCACCAAAAGGCACATAAGGCCCAGGCCTTGGGCCCGCTGTAAAGTGGGGCCACGAAAAAGGCTTGAAAAAAAAATTAACATTTCAATTTGAAAATAAATACAAAAAAAAAAAAACGTATATTCCGGTGTCTGTTTTCAGGTCAGCAAGGGCAGTAGGTATATCCTATTCACAATCCGATATCCACAGGTACAGGTAAATTTATCACCTTTACCTATCAAATAGCATTGAAAGGTGATAAAATTTTACCTGTACCCGTGGACATCGGATTGTGATAAATTATTTGAAAACCGGTAAACTTGGCAACATTGTCGATGTCATCATTGAATCGGGCATCATTAATTAACCGTATGCAGAAAATTTCGTAGTTCTATTGCATGCCGCTTTTTTAATATACAGTGTGAACCTAAAGTATGGAACATATTTAATATAAAATGAATGAAGGCGTTCTGGAAAAACCGCTTGGACACGTAGATTTTGTTTTTTTGCTTGAGATTTTTTCAAACTAATTTTTTTATACAGGTTGTTCCAAGAACAGCTGTACCGTTATCAATTTTATTTTTTTAAATCGTACCTTCTGTATATAGTTGAATTTACGATAGAGTTTGAATTTTGACCGTTATTTTCACCCAGTTGAAACTTGAAAGTAAATTAAATCCCCAGATCTGTCCCTTTTTCTGTCAACTATCAAATAATGATACATGACATTTCGGGTTAACCTATAATAAAAATATCAGATTCGATTCTTTGAATTTTGAATTTCGATTTTTTGTGTGAAATCGTTTCAGTTTTTTGCCGTTTTCTGCATTATTTTTCGATATTTTGTTATATTCGCAATTTTGCGAATATGATTTTTTATGTAGTGTTCTGTGCCTTTGTGTTTCGGTGGTGCGTTTCAAACCTGGTTTTAGTTTGGATTGGTGTTTACTTTTTTTATAACTGTTCACTTTGGACTCTAATAACTTAAGTTTCCTTCAAAGAAATTGGAAATACATTTTTATTCTGAAATGTATAGCACTTTTCTTAATAAGATTCTGTCGTTATTCCCAGCTGACGGAATCGAAGCGCTAACGGATGCTGGCAACCCAAAGAAAAAGTTACTAGAACTGTCAACGCGAACTGTCAACTTCACTTTCTATCGTGATTTCAACTATATCATAACATTTCCGGATTCTGGGGAAAATTCTAGATATAATTCATGTGCAATGTCATGCCAGAAATGCCCTAACGGCCGGTTTCTCAATAGCAAGTCACCCCCCGGGTTAGGCATAACTCCAGGGTAAACATTGCAACTTCACACACTTACCTTGGAGTTATTGGTAAAACCCGGAGGTGACTAGTTATTGAGAAACCGGTTCTCAATGTTAAAGCTTAACACACCTAATTAGAGGGCAACCACAACACTGGGATTGCAGGATCTTGAATTGGCATACCTGTCAAACCTGGCATACTATGGAGTGGTTCGGCCGTACCTACTAATGAATTTTGAAGATACACGATACGCGACAAGCGGTAAAATCGGAAAGATTTCATAAAATAAATCATTATAAGTCTACTTAAGAATGTGAGAAATAAGGACTTTACCTACTAGATATAAATATATTATTTTTTATTTTTATATTAGGAAAAAAATAATATTGACATCTAGAACCGGGCCCCTTGAGGTACCGGGCCCGTGTTCCGGGGAACACGCGGAACACCGGTGACTACGCCCCTGAATAGACCTTTCAAACGCTTTGTTTGTCCCCCCAACGAAAGTAAGGTGGTGTGTGAGACGTCAGGTAGTGCCTAATTGTAGCGTGCGCAGCACGCTATGCTCACATACTCGCCTAGCGAGCTGTAGGCGCTTTATAGACCCTGAGATAGGGCCTGTTTAGTGGAGTCATTTTTTTTTGTCTGGCATTTTGAGGGATGAACTCCTGTTCGAAATGTCCACAGAATGTTTCGCCGGAAAACTCGATTTCGAACTGTGATTACCGTCTGGCGATTTTTCAGCATTATTTTCACAACAAAACCTTTCATTCTCTCGATTGCCAGACAAAAAGTAAACGCGGAAGGTTCTTTTCTTTTCTCTTGGAAGTTGACACCCATCCCCATTTTTTCAGCTATTGAAAAGCATCTGATATTTTTCATGGATGAATTATTTATCAATGTCAATCTTTTATTTAAAAGCTAGAGAATTTGATATCATTAAAAAAAAATCTTCATGTAAATCAATTTTTTTCTTCTGCAAATTTTCGAACGAGAGGCCGGCATTAAAATCACCCATAGTCACATCAGCTTAGTAGCCACATTCAGCCCTCAAAATGCTAGACAAAAAAAAAATTACTCTACTAAACAGCCTCTATCTCACAGTCTATTAGCCATGGTTGGTGTGATTGACCTCAAACCCCCCTCTCCACGACGTTCCCCGGTTGCCCTTTAACGTCAATTATTTGATCCTGAGGTCGCTGGTAAATACCACGGATGGCGCGCACTAGGTCATTACACTGGCCTGTTTCGAGAATAAGGTTAGAACGCTCAGAGTTGGAGTTGCAGAGCGTTTGCGTTTTGTGGTGAAAAGGCATAGAAAAACTGCACTTTTCATTAATTTTAGGTTATAAATGAAAACAAAAATGTTGTGCCCTTGGGCGATCGGGTTCACTGGACGCGTCCTCACTAGCAATTGTGAGCTTCGGGTATGTACGCATAAGTGCGGGTACGGATTTAATGGCTTCGACAGCCCTGCACCCTGACCAATCCTGAGACCTAATGAGCCTAGGTAATGGTTTTGGTGCAGGTGGGAAGGTTTGTAAAGGATGTCAGAGAATGAGGGTTGGGAGGATTGGGTGCAAGAATTTATCGGGATTGGGACATGCGTTTTTCAGCTAAACTGGGCTATTTGTGTCTGATGTTCAATTAGACAAGAGTGGTTTCCTCATAGTCAGCGAGAGAGGAGTTTGTTACACACTAAATCACTGGCTAGTTGGAATTTCCCGAAGAACTAAGGGTAGAAATTAGACCTTGATGGGATTGCCAGAGTCTCCTACTATTGGCACCAGCACTAAACTTGTCTAATTTTGTCTTGACGTTAAGATTTTAGCTGTGCATTGGAGAGGGTTTTGTTTGGGTGTATGAATAGCAAGTTGGGATGAGGAGGTGTTCATGGGGGTTCAAAATAGACAGGTATAAATTCTTGTATGGTGGGGGTTGTCTGGATCATATCTCATTGCAGTCATTCTGCGTGTTAGAGGGGAGCCTTGAACTTCGAGTCTATAGAATTTTTCGCTGATTTCATCCAGGTAGTTAGAGACATAGGGAATGTATGCTTGCGCATGCATGTCCTTTATTCTGGCGTACCTGGATTCCGACAGCACTCCCCTCAAGATGCGGTTTTGAAAACGTTGCAGGCGGTTTCGCTGAGTTGTGGAGATTATGTTCCAGACAGGGGCCCCATATGTTAGCATAGGTCTTATGACCTGTTTATGTATGAGCAACTTATTACTTGGCGATAGGGGGAAGTTGGGGCCGATCTCTTCTCAGTCTATCGATTTTGAATAATTTCTAATGGAAATAAAACTTCTTTCTGAAGATTGCGAGTTTAAAAATACTGATGAAATTTCTAGAGATAAAATTGTTTAATTGTTTCATCAGAATAAAATTATAAAGCAAGGTGAAATAACTCTAAAAAATGCCGTTGAAACGTTTTGTATGACCGAAATCACAAGAAAGTATACTAGAGAAGTAACACAAACAGAAACACTTATTGGCGCCTTGAAATTAGGCCCTAATAATAATTCCAATTTGAATAAAGAAAATTGCCAGTCATGTCAATCTCATGAAAACCAGTCTATCTTTGACAAAAAATAAAATTCAAAATTACCAGCCAAGAAAACATGAAAATTCCCAGTCAGGACATGGTTCAAATATATACAATAAAGGTAAAAAAAAATATCGAAAAAATTCTATAAGGGTCTGTTCAAGATGCGGTTTTAATCATAAATATAGAGAATGTCCAGCCTCTGGCAAAACTTGTGATTAGTGTCATCTTAAAAATCATTTCGCTAATATGTGTAATAGTTATTTACATTACAAGTGCGTTTTTGAACATGATTACAATAACAAGTGTGAAAGATTAGAACGACGAGGTTGTAAACCGAGTCGTTCTAATCACACAAGTTTTGTAGTCATGTTTAAACGCACGTGTGATGTACAATGTTTTATCTACAAAGCGAAAAATGAGAATGTCTTTGCAATCATTTTCGTTTATTAGTCGTTGTCTACCTTTATTTTAACTTTACATGCCGAAAAACCCTTCGAGATTGTCCCAGTAGAAAATACCGAGGCAACACTTAAACACGAAATTGTCTGGTTTACTGACAGCTTGAAAACAGAAACTGTAACCGGCGCTGGAATATATGGACAAGCTCCCAGATGCGACATCAGTCAACCTCGGAGAAAATACACTACTGTATTCTAAGCAGAAATATATGCCATCGACTCTTGTCTGAGAGAAAACCCAAGAAGGAAATACACAGGTAAAAACATCTTTATCTGCTCAGACAGTCAATAGTCGATTCAAGGACTCAACAGCTCCAAACTTATCTCGAAAACCTCAAAAACCTAAGTATGGCCAACAAGGTAACCCTTAAATGGGTGCCGAGGTATAAAAGAATTGAAGAAAATGAAAAAGCAGATGCCCTGGCAAGAGAAAGATCAGCAACCATTTATACTGGTCCTGAACCGGCAACTGGTACCACAAAATCTTCGGTAAGAGCAAAAATGAATCAATGGGTATATAGACAACACCAAACTTACTGGCTCAGACACAATAAGCTAATAGTACAACAACCATCACCTAATCTTACTGAACAGATTCTAGAACTAAATAGGAATCAAATCAGGCTAATAACTGGATACTGTTGCCTGAGAAAATACCTTCACAGAATGGGCATCCTCCAAGAGGAACCCATATGCAGACTTTGTGAGGAGGATGAAACCGTCACCCACATAACCCGGTCTGTTCACTCTGCATCTCAACCAACCAACGTCGAACCAATAGCGTGCAACTTTTCTAAATTGAGGTTGATAGCTCAAATACGTGAGCCTCAAATTCGAATTTTAATTAATATTTACTTTGTAAAGTTAAATTTAATCATCAGTTGAAGATGCAATATTTGTATGATTAAAAACATTGAAATTATTCATAATACATCAAAATAAACCATACGCTAAATAAAACATCATACATTTTTCAATTCTATATTAAAAAAAAAATAAACATGTTCGTGCACCAAACAAAAAATATAAATATAAGAGAAAATACATATGTCAGCTCGAATGTACGTGAATATATCCTTTTATGTAAAATATATTGTCATCCTTCAGTAGGAACTGTATCTGGAAATCGATTTGGACACACTTGAACTTGATTTCACCAGACTGCTTTCGTTCGAGTATAGATTTTGACGAAACTAGAAAAAAAAAACACGATATTTATATCTGAAAATATAAAAATTCCAGACATACGTATGTAGGAGAAGTTAGCCAACGTCTAAAAGGTCGATTTCTAAGAGTCATTTTAATCACATAAGGCCAAAAATCGTAAAAATTATAAGATCTGTGAATTCGATAGTCGGGAATCGATCTCGTGTCGGCCAGGTAATACTCGTTACCGTAAACTGGATTGTATCTTGTTTTCAAAGGCATTTTTTTCTGTAACAAAATAATTATTGATTTAAATAAAAAAATTATACATATGAAATTGTACTTACTATGCTGTAATAAGATCACACACTCCAACACACAGACAAAGCTTGAATGGTGAATTCTGTATTACCCCGATATTTCGGCAAATTGTTGGCGTATTTCCAGAATAAACTTATTTTTACGGTCGATGATTAAGTGGCTTTTGCAATACAATGTTTTTCAGTTCAAGTGTAAGAATTTTAAAAATAAAATATAAGCAAAAGTCTAGGTTAAACTAATCTTCATTTCACTACTGCAAGTGCACTTTTCTAGCCTACTAACCCCATATTACATTAGATAAGTGAGTTCTCTTAGCTAAAATAGAAAATCAACAAGTTGTTAGATTTCTTTTGATTATGAATTGTTTAGGTTAAAGTTCGGTATTGCCGCCTCATGTGATAATAACAAAGAAAAACAACCAAAAATATCTATTAATTAGGTTTAGTGTAGGATAATTTTGTGGGCGATTTTTTTATCAAATTTAATTGGAAATAAAGTGAGTAGGCATCAAAGCTGCCATCTCGAATATAAACTCAATAAAATGATTGCATGTTTTTCTTTCACAATATTATTGGATATGATATCATTATATTGACGTAAGACGGCAATACTTGACTTAGGGTGGGCATTAAAAAACTGTCTTGACAAAAAACTAAAAGTTAACTTCTGGAATTACTATGAAAATCCTGAAGTTTCTGTCAAAATAGTTTTATAATACCCGCCCTTAACCGTAAAAATTCTGTTACTCACTCGCAAATCTCTATACAAATTGCGCCTGAATCGTCGATTAGTAAACCAGTATCGATATTTCCATGGCCAATCAAAGTAAAATTCGATCGGACGTCGTATGCGATAGTCGTGAGGATATCGGAAATCGTCCAAGTAAACGAATTCCCGTCCGAAAACAGGATCGTATTTGAGCAAGAGCATTTCAATCACTAATTTTTATAAATCAACGTGTATCATACAAGTTTTTTTGTGTGAAAATGTATTACTTACATGATTTTTTGAAAGATGAATCTACTCGCGATCAAGCACAAAATTATAATGTTTTCAGAAGGAGATTCAAGTTATTTTCAAGGCACGAAACTATTTATTGGCCCAGGATCAAAATAATGTTACCTCTGGGCGTAATTGAGTAATTTTGAAAATTAAAATTGGTAATAATAATGTCCAGTTTCATGCCAAAATGGTACATGATTGCTGATTTAGATTTTTAGTGAAAATTCAGGATTTCTTATTTAAAATATAATAATGTATCATATGTATTGAACAATTATTTCAACTGCATCATTAATATAAATTAAGAATAACAATGGGCCCAGTGTACTTTCTTGTGATACGCCGCTGATATTTGATAGTTCTAAAGATATATGGTTATTAACTTTAAATACTTATCAAATCAACCAACTACCTTTTATTCAAATAGACTATCCACCGTGTAAATTATTAATTGATACAGGAAATCGTACCTCAATCGCAGAAGAATATTTTTCAAATTCACGAAACAAGTTAACTAGTTGTATGGGTACAAGAAAAACCCAAGGAAAAGTCAATGTCCCAATTTTACAAAAATATAATATTCAAAACAACATTGTATAATTTCCACGATTATTTTGATGAACTCATTGGAATCAAAGCATTACAAGATAATAATTTAAATATAGATTTTTCTAATATGCTTCTTTCTAATAATAAAACAACAATTCCGTTCCAATATAGAACAGATTTCGAAAATCAAAATTTTGAGATTCCAAGTAATTCAGTTCAAGTATGTTATTTCAACACGAATATAGCTGATGACATTGAAATTCTTACAGCACCGATAAAAAATGAAACATATTATATTCCTGCGACAATAGCAACAGTCATTAATGAGATGCTACCTTTAGAAGTACACAACCCAATGAATAAGCCTATCATGTTTCATAGAATAATAATAACTTAGCGGAAATAAGTTTACCTTATGCTGATGAACAGTTTGAGATATTTAATATAGAATAAATGACTTCATTAGAAAATGATGAATATGCAAATGATCCTATAACGTCACTTTGTATTAATCATTTAAACTCAGAGGAATTTAATGTGTTGCGCAAAAATTAACCCTTAAACTGTTTGAAAACTAAATTTGAATAAATAAACCCTAATAGGCCTAGGTACAGTAAGACAGCCTTAAGGAATGTGGCCAGCGCAACAAAGTGCTCGCGGCTACTCAGTAGTGTGGGAGTAGGTTCAATATTGAAAGTTAGCTTCATAGGACGCCACTGGTTTACAAAATAAAATCCGCGGACTTATACCAGAAAGTTCCTGATCTCCAAAATTCCTATAAAAATGTACCTACCCGATGTACCTATCCTCTAAAATAACTTTACCTTAGTTTGGTTGAGGTCAGTAGGGGTAAAATAAGAATCAAATATAAAAACAATGATTATAAATATATTTAGGCTGTGGTTTGAATATAACCAGGGTTGTGGTTTCGCGGTCCGAAAGTAATCAAATTACGCAGGTTTCCTGAAATCTGGTTAACCAAATGTCAAAATAGTTACCGGCTATCAAATGTCGGTTCTGTTGATTTGATCTGTAAATTCTGTCAATTATTTTTTATTTCATATTCGCGTTCCCCAATTAACCGGAATTTTCAGTAACCATCTGTCAACCGATTCGGTTACTTTGATTAACGTTTGGTTATATTCGGACCATAGCCTATATCTACGTCGGTGTCTTTATGACACATTTAGCATTGTCATTTGAATGTCATTAGGTCCTTCATAATAGCACTAGTGCGTTTAAGAATTCATAAAAACACCCAAATTATGAAATGAAAAATATACAAAAAGAAAGTTACGTTACCTGAAGAACCTTTTCATTGATGCTGTCTTGATATTCGAAGGAACCTTTTCCGTTAATAAATTTACGGGTACATCACCCCCTGGTGGTCCTCCCTGCAGTCTAAACAACCATTCACATTACTGTCAATTGACAGCCTCACAGCCTGGATAACAAACCCCATCAACTTCTTAACTTCCCTTCTAAAATAGGGTATATTTCGGTTTTAAGTTCAGTGTTGTAGGTACTCTGACACTTCACCTTCGAAACTAGCAAACCGTCGAATAGGAAGGACTCAATGGTAAAGTAAAATCCAAAAATCCTAAAACCCTGGTTACAAATCGGGCTTATAGTTGAACAAAACGTGCTCTTTGCTCACACGACAAACCAACAAAATGGCGTAGACTTTTGTCTCCAGAAAATTCTGAGTGGTTGGCTTACAAATACGGGGACTTACTACCAAATCCAAGTTCTCACCCCAAAACCAATTAAGCTAGCAACCACTTGAGTTCCCAAGGCCTCTGAAATCTCACAAAAGGTGGTTATTCCAAGGAACGTAGCAAAGAGGACCGCTAGTAAAATCTGCCACTTGTTGCTTGCTCAACGTGCGAATTTAAAGAGAACGACCGTTTTTCGGCAATTTATTAGATGAGCTCATATGAAAAATTCCCCAGAATTCTATTTTAGCAACCCAAACCCCATCGATGACAAACAAAACTCAGAACTCACAATTTTCTCCCCTAACACTAATTATTTAATTAGTAATCATCACCTACCCAGTCTTTAGTACAAAAAACTAACAAAATGCCCACTCGTTCAGTGGTAGCAACTACAGTGACTCTATTACCTACAGTGGTCAAGAAATCTCGGCAACAGCGCTGCCTGAAACGGATCCACAAGTGTCCCATAACCATACTTATTTAGCGAAAATAAATAACCGGGAAAATATAAATATTAGTGCAAATAAGGGCAAAAAATTCATTTAAAGGGTGTGAAAGTGATTTATGGTGTTGTAGAATTTTTAAATATGGAAAATACGAGACTCATAATTGTTGCTAATTGATATTTATTTGAAAGTAAACAAACATTTTCATCAACAGTTAGGGCTTTTTAGACAACTTTCTTAAGCTAAATAAAATAGATTTTGATTCTTACAGTAGGGTTTTATTATCCTAAAACTACCCTGTCATCTGAATACAAAGAATTAACTCAGTATTACCCCGAAAAATATACCTTTGTTCAACACCTACATATTGTTTTGCATTCATTCAAAAAAGGCAGAAAACTAGTAAAATTCAATGAGAAACCTATCAATCAGCAAAAAATATTAATCCTCAGATAGAAAGCTTCATAAAGACCCTCACAAATATCTGAATTCATTCGAAATCTCAGTTACGTATTAAGGCAAAATTTGTACGTAACAAATGCTTTAAAAGATCTAATTATAGTATATTTCCTAACTAGTGCGGAAAAGCGATTTTACGCACGAGTTAGGAACACTATTTTTTCTAGGAGATGAAAGGTAATATTTTTACCTACATATTTATCAATTTAAGATATTTTTTTTTTACTTTTTCGTACCTCTATCTGTAGTATACCTGTTTACCTGTGAGTACCTGTATACCTAAAAATTTCAGGTATTCTACTTTTCCACACTCCGTGCGGAAAAAACGGAAAAGCACTGGTGCGGGAAAGTGATACTTTCATAACCTAAAATGCGTGCGGAAAAGTATACATTTCCGCAGGCTCGTAGAAAATAGCTATTTTCCTAACGAGTGCCGGAAAATTTTTCCCGCAAGAGTTAGGAACAATATTTTTTCTACGAGCATACTAAAGCTGATGTTACGAAGAGTTTAATTTAAATAAAATGCGATTATGCAGAAGGTAGAATAAAAAATGTATTAAAAGGTATTTATCAAAAGGTAAAGGTACAGGTATAGGTGTATCAACAATACAAACAATTCTATGTCACAATGATTATTAAATCTCTTCCCGTACAGCAAATCGTGCGGGAAGAGCCATTTCCCGCACGCTCGTAGAAAAAAGCTTTTTGCTGCGATTGACAAGAAATGTCAACATTTTTGACCAGTTGACAGGTCGGAAAACTCAATATTCTGGTATTTCAATTATGTTTCAATAGTTTCTAAGGAATCAATGAATAACAATACGGGAAACACTTTTCCGGCCTAGGCCGGAAAAGTGACTCTCGTATTGCTGAACAATTGGAACAAAGAGACAAACATTTAACAGATATTTAACCGATCGCAGAAAAAATAATATGTGTATTTCGGTGGAAAAGCACATTCTCGGCCTTGGCTACGCCTCGTCCGTCAACTTACACCGTCGGCCGAGAATGTCTCACTTTTCCACCTAAATACACAATAATATACTATTTCTAAAATTTTCCACAAGCCAAATGAAAAACTGACATTCACCAATCAAGTCAAACATGAGATTAAAACAACAGATGAAATACCAGTGCATACGAAAACACAACGATACCCTGTGTATAAACAAGAAGTAAATTCTCAGATAAAGAAAATATTAGAAGATAATATAATTATGCCATCCTGGAGTCCCTGGTCATCCCCTGTATGGATAGTACCTGCATGAGACAGAAGATGCCGCAGGCATACAAAAATTGAGAATGGTCATTGATTAGCGGAAGATAAACGAAAAAACTATACGTTACCTAATATCACTGATATATTTTTAGATCGACTTGGTCGGTAGTAATTATTTTACGACACTAGATGTATGAAAATTCGATACCCATAATAGCATTTAATGTTGAAAATGGTCATTACGAATTTAATAGAATGCCCTTTGGATTAAAGAACGCACCAGAAATATTCCAAAGAGTGATGGATGATAAATAAGACTTTTTCCTTTTTTACCCTAATGATTGGTTACTACTGTATTTCTACATTTTTCATAATCAAGCCTATTATCTAAATTTTAATTTGCCTTTTGACTTTTTGTAACTATTATCCCTGTTCTCAGTTGCTTTTTCAACTCTATCATTATACCATTCCTTAAACTTTGGCTTTATTACTTTTTCAACTAGTGGGGCAACTTCATCTAAAATTCTCTTTATATGATTGTAAAACAAACAATGTTTGTGGTTCAACTTTTCTGTGTGTTACGTTAATTTTCTTAATTTGTGGATGCAAATGACACTTCAATGATTGTATTTTTGCTTAACTTAGATTTTGCAAGCTGATTTTCAATAATTTCCCAAATTAAAAAATATAAGTATTTATTTTCCTAAAAATCTGAAAAAATATCAAAACATTAATCAAGCCTGCGTAATTAGTGGAATCAAAATTAAAATACAGAAAGTAAACTCGTAAGCTTAATAAAGTCACTATGACTTTCAAAAGTATTTTTCACAGGCTCACAAAGGCGTCTTTTCAATCTTCTTCAAACAACTACCTACTTGGAACAATAACTCGAAACTTTATTTGGATTCACTTATCCAAGTTATGAAACTATATAAATTCCTAATTCCTGAAAGTTCACAGTCAGGTTGATTCCTAGAAGTATTTTTCAAAGGCGACTTTTTCAAAAATTGAAAAATAATTGGAAGCCTTATTTCTGGGGCAATTATTATTGTTTGTCCAAGCAGAATTTGCATTCGGAAACGTAAAAACCGCCCTTGTTTCCTACGACCTCGTACCGAATAGGCAAAATGTATGAGGAAAGCTTTAAATTTATCGTTGTCCTGTAATTTTTTTTTTTTTTTTTTTTTAAATACCTTTACGTTAAATGCGTTCATAATAAATGAGGTCCTTGTAAAAGTAGAACGCCACATAGAACAGGGGCAATAAATCTGTCGACTTTTTAATAAAAAAGACAAAAAGGACATTTTATTTACAACTCACTTTGTATTTTAAGCTAAAACTGTTCATTTGATGAAGATTTTTCGAGAAAATTATGCCAATTTATACTAAGTAGGCTCAGTCATTGTTGATTAATGTAAGTAGGTAAATAATTTTGGGAGAAAAATACACAGTTCCAAGGATATTTCTGTATGCACAAAATCGTCTGAAACATTATCCCATTCTAAATTCGTCCCAATAAAATCGCCAGTGTTTGTGTGTGAAATCATTGTTTCTTGGCGGATGCCCAATCCAGAACCCACATTCCTCCTGAAACCGCCTCTCTGAAAAGTGCTTACTATTGCATTTGAGAAACGTTCAAGTAAGTACAAACATTTATTTAAAACTAGAATTTTTCGATTCTTTGAAAGTTTTTTGTTTTTATCATATATATCCTCATATACATTTTTGAATCGACAAGTTGAAAATATGAGCAACAACCATAAATAAAACAAGTTTCCAGACTATTATCATGACTTTCTAGTGCATAAATATGAATTTACTTCAATGTGAATCGATAAATAACATACCAAATTGACAAACCTCATAAATTTATTTTTAAGGATGCTCCAGCTGAAATATTATCCTGACGAGGGCGGCTACAATTTCCGCTATTTTCCCGACATACGGTATTACTACGACGAAAAGATCCAGCGCATTAATAGTTCCTTTTACGACTATCCTTACAGGTAGAATCTAAATATTTTGTATCTGAACGTAAAAATAATGGCGAATGTTATTTCTAGGACGAGAGTATGGGTACCGTACAAGGGCCATAGAGTTTTTTGCAACTACATGCCTTCGGGAGCGCCATTTGCAATTCAAAGAGTAAGTAAAGAATGGAATCAAATCAGGTTTTTATATTTTTTCATATTTTTAGGTAAGCAAAGTGATGTATTTTGATCATTATGACACGAAGAAGCGACTACGTATTAATTAATTATAGTATTTTATAAATAAATATATTTTTCTTATATCATTTAGTAGTATATATGATTTATTTGTTGATCTGCTTCCACTCTACTTATTCAAGAGTTGCTGTTTTAGTGTTTAAATCCTCTATTTCATTTTAGACTTTGAGGTAGTTTCGAACGCATCCTCGATTGAATGCGTCGAACGCATTCATGATGACAGATGACGGGAGAGGGAAACAGAGGAAATACCTCCTTGCCTCTGACAGAATTCAGAGGAAGATCGAGGAGGTTGTCATTCTGGGTGTCGGCCTCCATTCTCGCTCTTGCCTTAAAAATCTTTTTGAATGTAATATTAAGTATTTTGAGTCTTCTGTTGAGTAGAATAAAATAGCCTAGTAAGGCTGAAGATAATCAGTTGTGTCATTGGAGTTAAACCCCTTCCGCAGACACGGACCGACCTCACGCCCTCGAAAATAAGGGCGAATCATCACATTTGGCGCCCAACGTGGGGCACGTGAGCAGAGGGGAAACGCTGGTGGTTACAATTGGGTGAGCATTTTCCATTTTATTAAATTGGGAAGCCGTTAGCTTGATTTCCAAAACGAGAGCTATATTTGACGCGGAGTCAACAAGCGTGTTGGGTGCGCTGTCAAATCGGCGTAGGAACGCAGTCGTTCAGTAGGCTGATTTTATTGGTGGTGGACTCGAAGTTCATTTTGGTGCGGAACGCGACGGAGTACTTGCTCCACTGCTTGCATTTGGAGCGAACAGCTGAACTCCGAACGGATCGACGCGGCGCGACAAGGACAAGTTGCGTTAAGAGGATAGACACATATTTGGTAGTATCTATTAATTTGCTGGTATTTTTATTTTAAATTTATTGGAAGTTGAAATATTTTCATATTTATGATTTCGAGTTTTCGACTTTACTGTTATTTTGTTTTGGCTGGTATCTATTATTTAAACTTTATTTATCGATATTATTCGGTAGTATTTAATATTTTAAACGTATACAATGAGTCCTAAAAATAGAAAAAAGAGAAACACTAATAATTCTGGGGATTCAGATGATGATATACCTTTGAGTGAAGTTAGGGCACAAAGGGAGTCAAGGGAGACTTTAAAGTTACTTAAAAATCTTTCGGTAAATATGGCGGAGTTGCAGGACTGTGTTTCTAGACTGTCCTCGGAGGTCCAGGTCAATGATAAAAGAACTCGCATACAGGGGATTGATAGGGAGTTTTCGTCAAATAAAAATGATCAAACAAAGGAGATACTTGAAAGCGATAGTTCAAATGCGTCAAAGGTATTGATCGATCGTGGATATATCTCAAATTGGAAGGAACTGGGGGGTAGTAACCTTACTTTCTATACCCTAGCTCAAAAATTAAATAAAATTTTAGAGGATGCGGGGGGGTCCCTGAAACAAAAAAAACTAATCTGGCTTTAACATGCCTCCAAGGAGCCGCAGCTGACTGGGCTCAAATAAAGGAAGAATCATTTAAAAATTTCGGGGATTTTCAAAGGGCTTTTCAAGCTAGGTTTTGGGGGGTAGATCGTGAACGCGAACTTTTCTGGAACTATCCTATGGCACGTTCGAGTCGGGAAATAGGGCCGAGTATTTTTTAAATTTAATCAATCAAGCAAATTATTTGTCAGAGAAAATTAATATCGGAAAACTAATCGAAATGTTGTCTAAATATTTTCCTCAGGAAATTCAGCGCGGAATTGTTATGAATGGTTTTAGTACTGTAGATGAAGTGGAGACATATTTGCGAAAAATTGATGAGACATTTATGAAAGACAATAGAGCTAAGAATTCTGGTAGGTTTCATGCTAGTGAACGGCGCCAAGATTCTAATTCTAACCCCTCGAACTCTCATAGGAATCAAAATAATTATTCAGGTCGGGGAGATAACCGTGAAATAAGACATATTACAACCTTCAATAAAGACGAGACAGAACTTTTGTCAGGCTCAGACAGTGAACCGAACGAAAACGAAAAGGTATCTCCTGCTATTATGTCAATAATCGGCTCACAACAAATTGAAATTTTATTAGATACTGGGTCGGATGTATGTGCGATATCGGAGAAGTTTTTTGAGGCATTGAGGGCCTTATTAAAATTGCCCACTTTACCAGTGACCAATGTAAGTATTTCTGTGGCAGTAGGGGGAAATACGCAACGGGTTAAAACTCAAGTTTACTTACCAGTCGAAATGGAGGCCTTGAAAATGGACGTTATTTGTTTGGTGGTTCCAAATTTAAATTGTGAAGTGTTGTTTGGGTCTAATTGGCTGATGAAATATAAGGCGACGTTAAACTTTGAGAGTTCTTTGCTAATTTTTCGATATGAGTCTAAAATTTATCAATCAAAAATGATTTTCAAGATTAATGGTTGCAATCTACGAATTGATTTGTGTAGGGAATATTCAAGTAAGGTGATTCAAGGTGTAAAAGACGGTGTGACTCTAGAACAGAATGTAAGACATTGTTATTCCAAAATAGATTTCGAAAATGCAGTTGATAAATCGTCTATTGATAATCTATATAAAAAAAAGTTGTTTGATCTTCTTCTTCAATATTCAGATATATTTTCAGAGAATCCGGGATGTGTTAAAAACTATTTGCACGAAATAAAATTGACAAGTTATGAGGAGTTTAAGGCTCCTCAGTATCCGATTCCAGTGGTCTATAGAAAAGAAGTGGAGTCGCAAATTTTGGAAATGTTAGGTTGTGACATAATTCAAACACAAAAAACCGAGTATGTATCCCCTTTAGTGTGTGTGACGAAGAAGGATAAAACGGTGAGAGTGTGTTTGGACGCTCGATTTCTTATTTCTAATCCTAATGAACTTCTAATAAATTTTAAAAAGGGACAGATTTTAAGTACAATTGATCTGACAGCGGCTTATTGGCAGATTCCTATTGGGGCTGAACACACTAAGTATGTGGGTTTCGTCCATTCGGGAGAGACATATACTTTTAAAAGATTGCCTTTCGACCTTAGCACCTCCATGGCCAGTCTCATAAGATGCCTTAATCAGGTGCTAGGAACAGAATGTAATAGTTTTATATATGGTTATGTAGATGATTTGTTGGTCTTCTCAGATAATATTTCAATGCATTTGCAAGATCTTCAGACAATTTTCAGTAAATTGCGTTTTGTGGGATTAACGGTGAAGTTAAGAAAATCCCATTTTTTTCGAAATGAAGTAGTCTTTCTGGGACATATTATCTCGGCACAAGCAGTATCGATAGATCCTAAAAGAGTATCATCAATTCAAAATTTTCCAACTCCAAGGAATATTAGAGAATTACGTGGATTTCTCGGTCTGGTCAATTATGATCAACGTTTTTGTGAGAGCTATGCACAACTAACTGTTCCTTTGCTGAAATTACTAAGAAAAAGGCACAGTTGGAAGTGGAATAAAGAAGAAGATGAAGCTTTTCGAGACATTAAGCAAGCCTACTTACATGTGGGATTTGTGTCACATCCTGATTTGGCTCGTACATTCTATATTCAATGCGATAGCTCTGATTTGGCTTTAGCGGGCGTCTTATTTCAATACTCTGATACCAATGATCGTCAGGTTATTGCCTATACTAGTAGCACTTTCAAGGGTAGCCAACTGTCTTATACGGTCACAGAGAAGGAAGCTATGGCTGTCTTGCATTGTTTAAGGCAGTGGCGTACATTAGTCTTGGGAATGGATTTAGCCCGGAATTACAGAAGCTCTGTGTTGTGTGTATAGATCTTAAATCCCTAAACCAAGTATAGAATACTGGTAATGCTCTTCTTATAGAGATGGCGTTAGTTGTGTTATGTCTATGTAAAAATAGAATATGTATGGTTATGTAGAAGATTGTTATTATTGGTCGAATTATTAATAGTTGATTGTCATTGGTCGTTCGTTGTTAGTAGTAATTAATAACAAGTCATCAAAAAAGTAATCATCATGTAAAGAATGAGCAAGAAGTTTTGATGTTGAAAATACTTGTAAATATATGTAAATAAACTGTACAAAGAAACTCCTCGATTATTACTCCAACAAGTCAAGTTCCAGACCGTCCAAAGCCCCAAATAACAATAACAACAGGTTATGAGGCCCAGATTCCAAAGAAAACTAGAAAAATAAAATGGAGGTAAACACAATGTCGAATAATAGTATATTATATACCTAGGTAGAGAAGTTGGTCATTATATACCGAAAGCTTTTATAAACCGAGGCGCGAAGCGCCGAGGTTTATAATGCGTAAGGTATATAATGACTTTCTCTACCGAGGAATATATAGAATTTTTTTTACTACTGCTAGTAGAAAATAAAAAATTTGTTTAAAATCTGTGTTCTGATTATTTTTTGTGAACGCCCTCTTGAAAGTGCTGCCCTCTATCAACAGCTTATATAACTTCCTATGTACCTACAGAAACCTGTATTTTTTTTCAAATTGACGTATGAAATTGAAATTGAACCAATAGAAACATGACAATATCCTTGCGTCATGACGTCATTTTCATTATTGACCTAGGTATTTTTTCATTATTTTCATTATTAACCTAGGGAGAGAAATTCAATTTTTTCTTAGAAAAATAGATTGAATAATGTCTATTTCTCAGGTTAGTAGTAAAAAAAAATAATTTTAATGTTGATTTGTTAAATGGGAAAAATTATCACACATGGAAGTTCCGTATGAATATTTTGTTTGAAGAAAAGGATGTTTTAGAGTGCATTGAAAACGAATTTAATGAAACAAATTATACTAATGATAAACAGCTGGCTGAAGCAAGAAAAAAAGAAAACAAATGTAAGTCTATAATTGTACAATGCTTAGATGATTCGCAAATCGACCTAATTAGAGGAAAGGGGACAGCTTTTAGTATGTGGAATAGCTTAGAAGAAAGACACGAAAAAAAAGGCATTCCAGGCCAGTTGATTCTTAGAAAGAAATTAATGTCAATGAAGCTTTTGGACGGAAGTAAACTTGAAGAATTTTTGGCAGAATATGATGAAATTATAAGGCAATTAAATGCTACAGGGGCGGATTTAAAAGAACAGGATGTTGTTTATACTTTATTGCTTGCTATGCCCAAAATGTTCGAAACAGTTATAACTATATTGGAGAATGTATTACCACAAGATTTAACTATGAATTTGGCCAAAGCTAAGTTGAGAGCCGAAGCTGAAAGAAGAAAAGCGTTATACGAACCCAGTAGTACAAATAGCAGTGACAGACGGGACAATGTAACCCCATCAGCCTTTTCAACCCAACAATCAGGAGTATGTTATTCCTGTGGCCAAAGGGGCCATTATAAGAAAGATTGTAGGAATCAAAGACCAGTATATAATCAATCAAGAGGACACAGAAATTTTGGTCGTGGTGGTGAACAAGGTGGTTTTGACCAAGCACGAGGTAGCAATAGAGGATTTGGAG